TAGGAAGCTCAATAAAGCAAATGGACGTAGTCGAAATTAATTAAACGGTAATATCCAATATTGGCTAAGTTCAAAATCAATATTAATTTATAGTTATGACCCGATATCTTTAATTTACGAGGCTTTATCCTATATTATTAAATGAACCGAATAAAAAAATGGTTTTAGTTTATAATAGAATATTTTGATTAAACCTATAGAAAATATATACAAAGTATTTTCTTTCATAGGACAATGTAAAAAATATTCAGTTTATTTATTAAACCAGATTTGTAAGAATTAAAATGTTTGGATAAAATGTAAAATAGTAAACAAGTTGCAAACTATACCTATTCAACGAAAAATTGTATTATTTACAATTATATTATACTATAATTATTAATACATTATTTTAAGAAATTTTTTTATAATACAATTTTTCGTGGAATAGGTAAAGTGTGCAACTTGTTTATTAACTTTTCTATACACTTATTTTTATTTAACACGTGCCTAATTAAAATTTGGGACTAAAATGGCGTTTATCAAATTTAATACTGGTTTATTTAATAATTGAATCGGTGAGAATAAGAACAAGTCGTTTTTTAAAATCAATTTTAAAATTTAAAATACATTTTTGTAAGAAGATATAAATTATTTTACAGAATATGAACATTTTATTTTATAAAATATTCCAGAAAAAATGCATTTAGAACTTTAAACTAATTTTTTTAAATATTTTGTCAAAATTTTGACATTTGGAATTGTACTGTTCTAAATCACCGATTTAATTATATTATTAGATAATATTAAAATTACTTATTATAGGTCTTAAGAAACTTTAACTTGTTAAATTAAAAAAAATATTTATATATTAATTCATATTAGACATAAGACTTTAAATTTAGACGGTTAACACCTGTAGCATTTTGGAATAATTCCAAACATTTGATTTGACTGTAGGTTTTTTTTAAAGTGATTGATTTACAACTATAGTTTATACGTAAAATAATTACATTTTTAGTTGATGTTATTTTAATTGTACGACTTTTGACTGTTGCCAAACTATTTTAAGTTTAACGTGTTTGTTTTCATGTTAAAAATGTTTTAATCTTAAAGTTATCGGGAAAAATTGTTGCAAATATTTGTGAAATATACTAAATGCTGGATAAAAAATCTATACATAACTTGGGTGTATTTCCATGCATATAAGATAAGTTTATTGCAGTAAATGTATAAATAGTAACACAAAGAAGCTGTAAATTTTAAGTTATAAATTATTTTTTTTAAAATTTTGTTTTGCAAAAATGGCGAATGCGCCGGGATTAAAAATTATTTCCTTGCCCTCGCGTTGTCTTAAAACCATTTGCAAATTTCATGATACTAAAATTTTTTTTGTATAATTTGGTGGTCCATAATTTTAAAACGAATTACAACAAAAATTCTATAAATCTTATACGAGGTGTGTTCAGAAAATAACGGGAATGGTTAAATTTCGCGGGTTCGGAGTTGTCATAAAATTTTCTTTATTATGTTGGTATACATGCCCCGGAACTTCCGGGCCGGAAGTATAATAAAAACTTTAGCTGTTTTCATTGTTTACTTTGTCTGTGGCAGCCGCTAAGGTTAGACGTGTTTTATGAGCTCGGCGATTTTTCGTTCGTTAAAAGAAACGGATCAAAGAACTTGTATCCAATTTTGCTTAAAAAATTAAATAAATTCTGTGAAATGTTAACAAAGGCCTATAGTGAGTCTGCTATAAGTAAAACAAGAGTTTACAAGTGGTATAAGAGTTTCCAAGATGGCCGTGAAGACGTTGAAGATGACGAACGCCCCGAACGCACAAGCACATTAACAACCGATAAAAACATGGAAAAAGTGGAAGAAATGGTTATAAACCATCAGAGAAGTCGCTGATGATGTTGGTATATCGATTGGCTCATCCCATGAAATTTTTTCGAATGTTTTGGGTATGAAACGCGTGGCAGCAAAATTTGTTCTAAAATTGTTAAATTTTTTTGGCCAAAAACAATACTGTAATGATGCCCCAGCCTCCATATTCGCCAGACATGCCTCTGTCTGACTTTTTCCTATTCCCAAAAATAAAGAGAACCTTAAAGGGCTGTCGTTTTGCAAGCATAGATGACATTAAAAACGCATCGCTGAAAGAACTAAAGGCTATCCCAAAGATCGAGTTTTAGAAGTGTTTCGAGTATTGGAAGAAGAGCTGGCACATGTGCATAATATCCAATGGGGACTATTTTGCAGGCGACAACATTAATGTAGACGAATAAATAAATATTTGTGTCAAAAAACTAAAATTCCCAATATTTTTTGAACACACCGTATATCTTAAAGAACTTTTAAAAAATCTTTTTTTTTTACAAAATACACTACATATATAAAATCAGATTTCTTAATTTTATTTTGTAAAATTTAAACATAATTTTGGTAGAAAACCAGGGTTTGTAATTATTTTAACAATGGAAAATATTTCACCGAAAGTTTTGTAAAGGGAATATGCAATTTTGTAAGCATTTAAGCAATTCGTAGCGTGTTCGTAACAACTGTCCAGACTGTTTATAATGTATTACCAGAAATGTGTTATTATTGTTTTTCGGATTTCTTATTCCTAACTGGTTTTTAAACTTAAATTAGGCGATACAGTGAAGTGGGTTAAAATTACGAAATACATACATCAGTAGGTGTTGTAAAAATAAAGTCTGTCTTAAAAATTATAAGAAATATGGTTGAATTGTTGGTTGTAAACTTAACATAAAGTTATGTGGGCCCGGATTAATATTTGGTTAAAATTAACCAATATTTTTTTACTGTGTAATAATTTTACTATGTCTTTTAATAGTTTATTTATTATTGTTTTTTAAAGAATATTTAAATAATTTATATTTGTAAAATTAAATGAGAATTGTGCTTCATTCAATATTTAATAAGAGCACTTTTACTCACACAGATAAAGCAACAGGTCCCACAGAACAAATTGTGTATAACTTTGACTAAAATATAATATGTACTTACTAAATTTTAATGGTAAAACTACATATTATTAACACTAAGTTCTGTCACATTAAACACAATAAATAGTTATTAATAAATAATTATTATTAAACCACACTCTCAAACCATATTTAAAAGTTATACTTGACTAGTTTGGATGTGGGGGTTTGTTTAATTATTATTTTTAGGGACAAAAAAATTTTTTTTAATTGAATTTTTTACACACGCTTAGTCGAGGGAGAGAGAGGTTCTTCGCGACGCGAGCCGCCGGGACGCCGAGATGCGAATAACGATGCCCGTCCGACGGTCTGGAGTCTCGCCCGGGATTGGAGAGATGCTATCCTACAGGACACGCGCCACTCATGCGCCGCCAGAGCAACACGTACCCCGTACGCTACGCTCTCCTGTTGAACCACTGGGTATCCAGTTTTTAGTTTTGACAGCTTTCGTTCCCGGAGTTTTCCTTAATTGTGCTATTTCACACAAAAAAATATTTGTTAACTTTAACCAGATTTTATGTTAACAACTAACTGTAATCTGTTAACTAATTGAATAATTAATTATAACAAACAATTTGAGGATTTAATAACAAAATCCTGTATCAATAATTCAACCATTATTAACTGTAAGTGTAAGATTGATTTTTAAAATCATAAATAAACTTCTCCATTTTGATATATGTATTGTTTACTTTGTCTGTGGCAGCCGCTAAGGTTAGACGTGTTTTATGAGCTCGGCGATTTTTCGTTCGTTAAAAGAAATGGATCAAAGAATTTGTATACAATTTTGCTTAAAAAATTAAATAAATTCTGTGAAATGTTAACAAAGGCCTATAGTGAGTCTGCTATAAGTAAAACAAGAGTTTACAAGTGGTATAAGAGTTTCCAAGATGGCCGTGAAGACGTTGAAGATGAAGAACGCTCCAAACGCACAAGCACATTAACAACCGATAAAAACATGGAAAAAGTGGAAGAAATAGTTATAAATCATTAGAGAAGTCGCTGATGATGTTGGTATATCGATTGGCTCATCCCATGAAATTTTTTCGAATGGTTTAGGTATGAAAAGCGTGGCAGCAAAATTTGTTCTAAAATTGTTAAATTTTGAACAACATTTTTGGCCAAAAACAATACTGTAATGATGCCCCAGCCTCCATATTCGCCAGACATGCCTCTGTCTGACTTTTTCCTATTCCCAAAAATAAGGAGAACCTTAAAGGGCCGTCGTTTTGCAAGCATAGATGACATTAAAAGCGCATCGCTGAAAGAACTAAAGGCTATCCCAAATATCGAGTTTTAGAAGTGTTTCGAGTATTGGAAGAAGACCTGGCACATGTGCATAATATCCAATGGGGACTATTTTGAAGGCGACAACATTAATGTAGAAGAATAAATAAATATTTGTTTCAAAAAACGAAAATTTCCGATATGTTCTGAACACAACTCGTATGTATGTCAAATAAAGTCGTTTATTATTATTATTCTTGTAATTTTCAAAAAGGACCTTATTTTTACAAACCTTTTTATATTATGTTAATATATGCATATAACATGTTATGTTAATAAACACTCTGGACAATTGTTAAGAATACGTTACGAACTAGAATAAAGTAAGCAGAAAGTTATAGACGCTGAAGTCAGTTGAACTTGTTGATGCGTATTGTCACTGGGAAATGTTTTGATTAACGAAATAAGTTGTTAAATATTGACAAAATATTCTGTAACCTTTGAAATTAACAAAATGTTTACGAAATTGCATATTACCTTTACAAAACTTTCGGTAAAATATTCCTTTGTTAAAATAATTACAAACCTTGCTTCCCTACAAAAAATTATGTCAAAATTTTACAAAATAAAATTAACAAACTACAAACTTTTTATACTTGTTTTTTTAGTGTTTTTTTTAAATATATCTTTTTAAAAATCATTTTGTAAACGAAAAGAAAGTATAAATAAATAGTATTTATTGCCTTAACTTTGGGAGAATTTACTTAAAACACAAGCACTTACTTTATTTGTATAACACGAACATATATATTGTGTTATATTATACGGACTCTACAAACTAAACATTTGACCAAGTATTAAATCCCAAATATTAAGTATTTATATTTTTTAACTTAAAATACATTGCAATATTAAGTTTAAGTTAAAATAAAACTGTTTGCAATATATTTTATTAATATACATAATATGTATTCTGCTTTTTTTAAGACTATTTTTATTTTTTCGCTCCCAACTCAAAATCTTGTTGAAAATGTTCAAAAAAAATTCCCTGAAAATTTGAGCCCTTAATATTAACTCAAAGTACTCTACCAAAGCGTTTAAATATTTTCCATTTAAAATACACGTAAACTTTGATTATTTTTTTTTTAATATCCATTTTATGCTATTGGATTGTTTCAAAAAGGGATGTGCTCGCAATCAAAAGTTCTACAAAAATGCTTTATGTGCCATATATCTCAACAAATATCAATCTAAGCGATTCAACTGATAAAACCTTTTTTAAAGAAAATTAAATTTTCCAGAAGTTTTTTCTTTACATTTTTTCAAAGAATCCAGTCACTTTTGAAATATTAAAACTTTTCACTAAAATAAGATTTAGTGACCCGTACCATCCTACAGGTGCAGATTACAGCTATGGCACATAAAGCTTTTTTGTAGAACTTTTGATTACGAGTAAATTCCTTTTTGAAACAATCCAATAGCATAAAATGCCGCTGAGATATAGATATTTAAAAAAAAATAATCAAAGTTTACGTGTATTTTAAATGGGAAATCTTTATAGGGATTGGTAGAGTACTTTAAGTTAATATTAAGGGCCATTTTCAATAGGATTTTAAGTTGGGAGCAAAAAAATAAAAATAGTCGTAAAAAAGCACCCTAATATATATTTATATATTATGGGACACCCTGTATACTCCTGAGCGGGTAATAATTGTAAAAAAATATTTTAATACAAATTTTAAAATGTTTCTATTTATAAAATAACCAAACTTCTATTAACATTACTATCGATTAATTTACCTATTTTTATTAAATAACGTAGGAAGCATTAATTTTTATTCTTATCCTCATTTATTACAACAACAAAAGTATTTTTAAGGCTTTAAGTAATTAACTTTAATGTCAGTGTGCACAGACTTAATTTATTTTTGAAATTACTAAAATGCAAAAAGGATCCTTTTAATATTGATATGATTTTGATATGCACAATAGTTAATATAAAATAAAATATCAATCCCTTATATTTAGCTCTAACAATTGGGTAATACCCAACGAAATATGAATAGTTTAGCAATGGTCTGTATAATATTACAAAATATGTTCTGGTTTTATAAATAAGGTAATCAATGCTTAATTAATATCTCCAAAAAGTTATAGCAATAAGTAAGTATTAAATTTTACTTTTTTTACTGTCTAAAATGTTTTAAAACTGCCCAAGAAGTTTTTTAAAATTGTTCTAAAACTGTCCTATAATTTAACTAATTTAGCACTTTCTGAGTAAAATTCACTTCAACTTTCTTAAAGGTGTCTTAAAACCATCTTCGAACTGTATGCAGTATTTCATTTTTTAATGCCTTATCACTGTTTCAAAACTGCTTTAAATATGGCCTTTTCTTTTCGATCTTTAAAATTGTGTCCCAATCTGCACTGTTCATATTTTCATCAAAATAAAAAATTTTAGTCAACACTTTTATTTTGCGGCTGTTTAAAGGGTGATATTTTTAAAAAGGTCAACGGTCAAAGATTACCATGCAAAACATGTGTTGCAAATACAGGGAGTAAAGAAAATGACGGATAAATTATTCTATTTTATAGATATAAAAAGGACAAATTTGAAATTTATCGACTTTTCATTATTTTGGTAATATCTTTTTTCTATGACCACTATGTAAAAGTTTCTTTTCATGATGGCATTGTTGCTTAGAAAATGAATCTTTTCATTGGCCAGGCATAACACGAATGTAAAGTGACATTTCTGTGTGAAAAGTGACAGGTCTGTATGAAAAGAAATTGACAGCATCGTTTGACAAAAAGTCTGTCAAAAAAGTTTTTAGGTTATATTGTTTTATATTTAAAAATATTAAAAAAAGGGTCGTAGAAAAAACATTGTGTTATACTTGTGAGAAAAGCTTTCTTCATGCTCGTGTTAATGCACACTTGGCCTAACGGCCTCGTGAGCAACTTAAAAACTCGCATGAAAAAGTCGCTTTTCAACACTTGTAAAACAAATAACTATTTTCTAGCCCCCCTTTAAAACGCCCATTATCGTACATTTTTCCATGACAACTTTTAAATACACATTGATGTGTATTGGCGCTTTAGTCACGGGCTGAAGTTAGTTTTAAGTTAGTTGATGGTTGTCATGCAATCATTAAATAGTGCGCAGTCCGCATAAAACATTCTCTTATCTTTTACTGTGAAAACTGCTTCTAAATCGATTGTTAGTCTATTTTCAAGAAATAATTTTAGTAGTGCAGATAACCAAATTTAACTGATCTATTATAATATCGATTGTTAGTTAGTTTTTAATAGATAAATTTGGATTTTTAATAGATAAATTTGGATTAACACATATATGTGTTATGTGTTGTATACAAATTTGAGATTTTAACGCCGGTAGAAATTCTAAGGGGAATTCCAATAAATACAACTATCAATTTTTGCACCTTCAATATTACCCGTGTAGGAACTTTTAATACTTAATAATAACGGGCAATGTTAATGGTGAAAATAAGGTCAAAAATGTTTATTGGGATGGTCACTTTATTTTCGTATAAATGTCGCTTTATACAAATATTTAATTTACTAAGTGTCCTGAACAACGTAAGAATAATAGTTTATAATTCATTTTCTTTACACCCTGTATATATGTATATCAGTATAATTTTGCATAAACTTTTAAATGACCTTGCACCTTTGGTTGCATACTACTTGAGTATATTTTCAAATTAAACTTAAGTAGCTAAGTTAATCTAATGTCTCTTAAAATTTTATAAATGATAGACGAAAAATAGATAATTTTATCAGGTTTATATTTATTGTACCTAAGTGACCAGCAAGTAAATAGTTGAACATAGATAGTGCGTCAAGATGTTAACTTAATTTAAAAGCAATTATTCGTAATTTTATAGATAGGCGTAATTTAAATTATTTTATGTTGTTACTGTGTTCATTATAATGACAAGTGCGGAAAAATACGTGTTTCTACTAGACGAAGAATCAAGAAAGTATGCGGAAGAAAACTTAAACGAAAGCGATAAAAATCGAGACAGCTGTCTGACGGAGATACGCAATTGGCTGGAAGAAAACAAACATCTGAACGCGCGACCGGAAGTCAAGTACATCCTTCCGTTTCTGCGTGGTTGCAAGTTCGAGATGGACAAGACCAAAGTAAAAATGTCGAATTTTTACACGATGAAGCGTGACAGACCCGAATGGTTAGCCAATAGGGACCCTTTATTGCCGGAATTACAGCGTTTAGTGCGTTTGGGGGTGTTCCTGCCACTTCCGGTAAAGCGCGATAATAAGCTGGTTGTTATCGTAAAAAATGCAGTTCACAATCCCAACATAGACACGCTGGATGACGTGATTAAGATTGGACAAATGATTATGGATGTGGCGTGCATGGAATACGAAAAATCTTCCATATACGGTATCATAGGTATTTTCGATATGACGGGTTTAAGTTTTGCACATGCAAGACAGTTAACACCCGGTATTGTAAAAAAAGTTGTGTACGCCATACAGAACTACCCCTGCAGGCCCCAGCAGTTTGAATTCGTGAACACCCCAACCTACATAGGGTATTTTTTGAACATTTTTAAAAGTCTACTGCCTTCCAAGCTAAGGGACAGAGTCAAAGTGCATTTTTCCGGGTACGATTCTTTGTACAAGGCTGTTGGTAGGGATGTTTTACCAGAAGAATACGGGGGGAACGGGGGGAAAATATCGGAATTAATTCAGTATTGCGAAAATAAGTTGGTGGAGTATTCGGATTGGTTTAAAGAAGATGAATTGTACAAAGCGAATGGCGATGAAAAAAAGTGGATGTTTTTCTAGTTTTTAAAATTATTTTATACAGTTTTTTACGTCTTTATTCTCTACTTTTATTTAAATAAAGAGACAGTTTTAATTATGGAAGTTATTGTGAAAACAAAGCAGTTATTTTAATTAAAAAAACCTTTTGAATTAATATTGTATTACTATTTTTCTAGTTCTAAACATTGTACTTAATAACATAAATATTGATATTGTTATTTGTTTCCACGAATAAAATTGTATAGATACGGGGGTGGGTCTGCTATAAACTTTTGACAATTACAAAAAATTTACAGTTCATTTTTTTGGGTGACGTTCACAATATCGAAATTCATTATATCGAATTCAAAATATCGAACACTTTTTATCGAAAATCAAAATATCGAAAATACAAAATGTCGAAAATCAAAATATCGAAAATTAAAATGTCGAAAATGATAATATCGAAAATTAAAATGTCGATTTGAAAATGTCGAATAATTAAAATTTCGAAAATTAAAATGTCGAAAATGATAATATCGAAAATTAAAATGTCGATTTGAAAATGTCGAAAATGATAATATCGAAAATTAAAATGTCGATTTGAAAATGTCGAATAATTAAAATTTCGAAAATTAAAATATCGATTTAAAAATATCGAAAATTAAAATGTATGATTAAAATCGAAGTGTATATGTACAGAGGCGCCTCTGTAGATAAAGTTACGGTTATGCACCGAATTATCTTGGCTCCCTGGCTCCTAGAGATGCGCGTTTTATAGAAATGTACTCAAACTCAACAACACAACCCAACCGACCCCGCCCCATTGCCCCCCCCCCCCGCCCCATTGAGCAAAAAACCCAACTAAAATGGGCAAATTCATGTTACGATAAAAATAAAACACTTTTTAATTACATAAATTAGCCCATTTTAGTTGGGTTTTTTGCTCAATGGGGCGGGGGGGGCCAATGGGGCGGGGTCGGTTGGGTTGTGTTGTTGAGTTTGAGTACATTTCTATATCAGAGGCGCCTCTATACATATACACTTCGGATTAAAATAATATGTCGATTAATTGAAATATTTAAACAAAATATCAAATTCAAAATAAGAAAATATGGTTTAGTTTCACATTAAAATTCGATTAAATAAAATTTCGATATTATCATTTTCGACATTTTAATTTTCGACATTTTGTATTTTCGATATTTTGATTTTCGATAAAAAGTGTTCGATATTTTGAATTCGATAAAGTGAATTTCGATATTATGAACGTCGATATTTTATTTTCGATAAATTGAAAATTCGATTAAATAAAATTTCGATATTATCATTTTCGACATTTTAATTTTCGATATTTTGATTTTCGACATTTTGTATTTTCGATATTTTGATTTTCGATAAAAAGTGTTCGATATTTTGAATTCGATAAAGTGAATTTCGATATTATGAACGTCACCCCATTTTTTTATGTGGACTCGTGTTTTTTTGTTAGGTTGGTGGCTTATGCCACTTTGACTTAGTATTTTTAGTATTTAAAAATGGTACTTCTGCTAAAGAATTTAATTAAATACTTTGACACTGTCAAATTGACAATATTTTATTATTGATAATTTACTTGTCAATTAATTATAAATAAAAAGATAATTATGCCAAAAATAATAGCAACGAATTCGAATGTAAAAGCCCTTTTGAGGGCAAAACTTCATTTTGATGAAATTATGCCAAATGCCACAATGGAAGAAAAAGTACATCGCCTTATGGACACTTTTGGAATAAAAAAGTAACGAATTTGGTTTTATAAATATTACATCACACATTATTTTTACATTATTCACCATTGGACAACATTTACGTTCACAAAAAATTTAATTTCTTTTATATAAATTCTTTTCAAAGCGAAGATTATTATCCGCTAGGAATACTTTCTCTTCTGGGCCGTAAAGCAACCTATATTTAACCACTTTTTTTATATGCTTTACTCATCCAAGAACCACCAAAGTCATGTTTTGAATAATATTAAGTTTTTGTAGAAAAGGAAGAATAGTATTCAACTCGTTTATAAACTTTAGTTCTCAATTAATTAAGCACTCGCTCGCAAGCTCGCTTGTGCCTAAATCAAATTAAACTTGATACATAATATACTATTAAAATATAGTTGTGTCCCGTTCAACGTAAAAGTAAGAGTTTATTCTTCATTTTCCATACACCCTGTATATATGTATGTCAGTATAATTTTATATAAACTTTTAAATGACCTTGCACCTTTGGTTGCATACTACTTGAGTATATTTTTAAATTAAACTTAATTAAGTAGCTAAATTAATCTAATGTCGCTTAAAACATCTCATAAACATTTTATAAATGATAGACGAAAAATAGATAATTTTATCAGGTTTATATTTATTGTACCTAAGTGACCAGCAAGTAAATAGTTGAACATAGATAGTGCGTCAAGATGTTAACTTAATTTCAAAGCAATTATTTGTAATTTAAATTATTTTATGTTGTTACTGTGTTCAATATAATGACAAGTGCGGAAAAATACGTGTTTCTACTAGACGAAGAATCAAGAAAGTATGCGGAAGAAAACTTAAACGAAAGCGATGAAAATCGAGACAGCTGTCTGAGGGAGATACGCGATTGGCTGGAAGAAAACAAACATCTGAACGCGCGACCGGAAGTCAAGTACATCCTTCCGTTTCTGCGTGGTTGCAAGTTCGACATGGACAAGACCAAAGTGAAAATGTCGAATTTTTACGCGATGAAGCGTGACAGACCCGAATGGTTATCCAATAGGGACCCCTTATTGCCGGAATTACAGCGTTTAGTGCGTTTGGGGGTGTTCCTGCCACTTCCGGTGAGGCGCGATAATAAGCTGGTTGTTATCGTAAAAAATGCAGTTCACAATCCCAACATAGACACGCTGGATGACGTGATTAAGATTGGACAAATGATTATGGATGTGGCGTGCATGGAATACGAAAAATCTTCCATATACGGTATCATAGGTATATTCGATATGACGGGTTTAAGTTTTGCACATGCAAGACAGTTAACACCCGGTATTGTAAAAAAAGTTGTGTACGCCATACAGAACTACCCCTGCAGACCCCAGCAGTTTGAATTCGTGAACACCCCAACCTACATAGGGTATTTTTTGAACATTTTTAAAAGTTTACTGCCTTCCAAGCTAAGGGACAGAGTGCAAGTGCATTTTTCCGGGTACGATTCTTTGTACAAGGCTGTTGGTAGGGATGTTTTACCAGAAGAATACGGGGGGAACGGGGGGAAAATATCGGAATTAATTCAGTATTGCGAAAATAAGTTGGTGGAGTATTCGGATTGGTTTAAAGAAGATGAATTGTACAAAGCGAATGGCGATGAAAAAAAGTGGATGTTTTTCTAGTTTTTAAAATTATTTTATACAGTTTTTTATGTCTTTATTCTCTACTTTTATTTAAATAAAGAGACAGTTTTAATTATGGAAGTTATTGTGAAAACAAAGCAGTTATTTTAATTAAAAAAACCTTTTGAATTAATGTTGTATTACTATTTTTCTAGTTCTAAACATTGTACTTAATAACATAAATATTGATGTTGTTATTTGTTTCCATGAATAAAATTGTATAGATACGGGGGTGGGTCTGCTATAAACTTTTTAAAATTACAAAAAATATACAGTTCATTTTTTTTATCTGGACTCGTGTTTTTTTGTTAGGTTGGTGGCTTATGCCAGTTTGACTTAGTATTTTTAGTATTTAAAAATGGTACTTTTGCTAAAGAATTTAATTAAATACTTTGACACTGTCAAATTGACAATAATATTTATTATTGATAATTTACTTGTCAATTATAAATAAAAAGATAATTATGCCAAAAATAATAGCAACGAATTCGAATGTAAAAGCCCTTTTGAGGGCAAAACTTCATTTTGATGAAATTATGCCAAATGCCACAATTGAAGAAAAAGTACATCGCCTTATGGACACTTTTGGAATAAAAAAGTAACGAATTTGGTTTTATAAATATTACATCACACATTATTTTTACATTATTCACCATTGGACAACATTTACGTTCACAAAAAATTTTAATTTCTTTTATATAAATTCTTTTCAAAGCGAAGATTATTATCCGCTAGGAATACTTTCTCTTCTGGGCCGTAAAGCAACCTATATTTAACCACTTTTTTTATATGCTTTACTCATCCAAGCCAAATTAATTGCATTTTTAACTACGAATTTCGACAACTCAACTTGACAACTGCACAATGTAACCTACAATAATTTATACATAACCACAATTAGATTTATAACTAGCTTAGTTTGTTTTAATCAATGCGACCAACTTGACAACTGTATTTACCAACCAAAACCCTAAATTTGCAACGTTGCCGCAGTCCAGATAAAAAAATTAACTTTATAAACTATAGTTTAATTTTAATGACAAAAAAATTCATAACCCGCTAATAAGTAGACATTCAATCATATACCTACAAGACATATTTTTGTACGAAATTTTGCGCTTTGCGAAAAAGGTCAATTACGTTATTTTCGTAAAATCATCCATTTAAATGATACCGGAGTTCAAAGTTAAACGACATCGGAAAACAAATTTTGTTTTTCCAAAATTGTTTATGTAAATGATAAACAGGTAAAAAAGCCACTGATAAAATTTAGATAAAAATCACTTTGATTTACACTAAGGTTCAAAAATTTTGCACCATCTAGAAGTTAGCGCCTTTAATGGTAACAATCTATCCTCTTTCTAATTCTTATTAGGTAATTGACTGTTTTTATAACATAAACAAGTTTGTTGATACTTACCCAATCAGAAGATAGGGGGGCAAAAAAATGCGAATTTTTATTGTTATTTGTTTAGTTCCTTGTATTGCTGTAACAATGCATGCCTTGTCTAAGGTTTCTCCTAGTTACTGACTTAAATATCTGTGTTTTCTTTAAGTCGTAATTCTTGGACGCCCTTCGATGTTTACTTTCCAGAGAACCTGTCTCATTATGCCTTTGAATGGTTAAGTTAAGCTCTAAACATTTTTAAGAGGATTTTCAACACTAATGAATGTTAAGCGTACAAAACTGCATATTTTGTTTAAGATTGCGAAACATTTAAAAACATTTACAATTCAATATTTATACTATTGGAATTCAATAAATATTAATATTTTTATATTGTACTTGGTGGTGCAAGACCTTTTTGTACAGCGTAAAATTTCCCAGGTTTATTTATTAGCGAGCAATAATTTTTTTCCTATATAAATTCAAATTTTTTTGTAGATTGTAAACAAATAATTAAAATAACAAAAATTGTATTTTTGTAATAAAAATAATCATAAGTTTATATTTTATGGTTGAATATATTGAGATGTCCCCCAAGTGAAAATGATTATTTTTTATTTTTGGTTGTTTCACTGTTAGTCTAGAATGGAGTTTTTGGGAAGCCACCAGGTCTAGTAATAACATAACATAAATGGTTCTGCACTAATGCAAGAATTATAAGAAATCATACATTTTGAATTCAGAGCTTCACGGAGGTTAGGATTTCGTATGTTTTTTTAAAACTTTGTATATTTAAAATTAGTTATTGTATCTTTTGACACCTAAGTATTTTTTAAAAATACAATTGTACATACATAAAATATTTATAAAAAAAATCTACTTACTGAGATATTACAATTTACGGAGGATAGGTTTTTAAATAGCAAATTAATGAACTTAAACTTTTGAATTATAAAACAGCAACACTCTCATCTGCATATAAATTCTAACTGACCTTCAGGAATCACATGCACCTATATGGTTTTTGCTTATTTAAAATGATTAAAGCGCCATCCGTTGCATAAAATTTAAAGAAAAACAGATTCTCGGAGAATAGAATCAATTTTTGTAACACCTACATAAAGGGTTATAAAAATTATTTCTTTTAATTTTTAATAATATTTTATATTTAATTCGATTGCTTTGGATGTGTTTAATTTACTTAGTGAACTGATATTTTTATTATGCTTTTACTACCTCAGATATTTGAAAACATATAGGTTAACCTAGAAAGAGTAACAGTCACGGAGGATAGGTTTTAGACTTTTAAAACATTGTAAAAAATAATTAATTGCGGTTAAAAATCTGGAACCTTAGCTGTAATATCTACTTAATTGTAAATAAATTTAAGGAGTTTTCTTTATAAATCTAAAATAAAATTGACTTATTTTATTCGTTTATTTAAGAACAAAGATATTTATAATTTTTTTACAAAAATAAAATAAAACTTATAAACAAAAAAATAACCCTTATATATAATAGTCAAAAATAATAACTTCAGTAGGTAATCGACTATTTTGCAAAAGAATACCAGGTTAATATAAATTTAAATAATAAACGAAACATTTGAGTAGACAAATATTGTTTTAATACTATCAGCATATTTTATTTAATCAAAAAACAATAACAAAAAATATGTATCAAAATACGCAAGTATCTAATTAAATTTTTAAAGAAGCGCTAAAAATTAAGAACCTTTCTCTAATTATTAATAAAAACATTCTCTTGCAGAAATAGAAATGATTTTATGAACACTGCAATTAAAAATTTTGTTAATTATAACTTCTATAATGAAGTGAGCAAAGGAAATACTAAAAAACCTTTATTAAATATTAGAAATACAATAACATTTTGTTATGATAAAAATACTTTACTTCTTTTCATCCTTAGCTTTGTACACTTCATCCTCTCTGAACCAATCTGAATACTCCACTAACTTATTTTCCCAATACTGGATTAATTCCGATATTTTCCCCCCGTTCCCCCCGTATTCTTCCGGTAAAACATCCCTACCGACAGCCTTGTACAAAGAATCGTACCCGGAAAAATGCACCTGAACTCTGCCCTTAAGCTTATCCGACATAAAACTTCTAAAAATGTTCAGCACGACATTCACGTATGTCGGCGCGTTTATAAATTCGAGTTGTTTGGGCCTGCAGTGGTAATTCTGCCAGGCATACACAACTTTTTTTATAACACTTGGGGGTAGTTGTCTGGCGTGCGCCAAACTTAGTCCTGACATATCGAAAATGGCTATAACACCGTATATCGAGGAGTATTCCGATTCCATACACGCAATCTCCAGAATCATTTTTCCCGCCTTAAAAACGTCATCCTGGCTGTGGATTTTGGGGTTATGCACTGCAGTTTTAATAATGACCACCAACTTATTGTCGTGGAGCACCGGAAGTGGCAGGAACACCCCCAAACGCACCAACTGCTGTATTTCCGGCGACAAGGGGTCCCTATTCGAGAACCATTCCGGTCTATCACGCTTCATCGTGTAAAAATTCGAGATCTTCACTTTGGTCTTGTCCAGGTCGAACTTGCAACCCCGCAGAAACGGAAGGATGTACTTGTCTTCCGGTCGCGCGTTCAGATGTTTGTTTTCTTCCAGCCAATCGCGTATCTCCGTCAGACAGCTGTCTCGATTTTCATCGCTTTCGTTTAAGTTTTCTTCCGCATACTTCTTTGATTCTTCGTCTAGTAGAAACACGTATTTTTCCGCACTTGTCATTGTGTTTTGTTTACTGTAACCTTACATTTATCATAAAACACTGTGTCGAGCCAAAGTCTATGTTCAACTGCGTATTTCTAGTGGAGACATTTTTTTCAATCATAGGTCGATATATTTGTTTAATTTTTTTATCGTCCAGAACAATTACTAATATTAGATTAATTAACCTACTTAAGTCAATTTGCTAAGTCACTTACATGATAGGCAACCAGCATTACAAGGTCGCTTACTGTAAGTAGCGGGTATATTATATCGATAAGTAAAATATTAAATATTACTGTCAATTTTATAGTGTCAGAGTATTTAATTGAGGTCTTCGGCAGAAGTACCATTTTTTAAATACTAAAAATACTGAATCAAACTGGCCTAAGCTACCAACTTAATAAAAAAACACGATTCCAATAAAAAAAAATGAACTTTTTATTTTTAAGTTTCAGATAGGTATATATTTTAAATTTTTTAAGGTTTTTGTAGTCCATTTTTAGCAAGGTTAATTTATTAATTGATTAGAATGGTGAATAAGGATACTTAATAATTAATAATAATTAATATTTTAATTATTGACATGTAAGTATTTAATATTTGTTACTTCAAACTATTAATTTTATCATTATCATGTTAACATAATTTTACATATTTTTGTAGTTTGCCTGAAGATGATCTAATATAGATCGAAACTAGTCGCAATAAAAACATAAACAAGCACGGAAGTATCCTTATTCACCATTCTAATCAATTAATATATTTTAAAGTTTAAAAAAACGAATTTATGTTTTTGTAATTTGGGTTAAGATTGCTTTAATATTTTCTTTGTTTAAATTTTTCAAAAATTGACATTTTGGTATCTTTTTTTTGAAATTTTTGTTTTTAAATGAATTTTTCGAAAAAATAGACAAACAAATTTACATGATCAACTCTATGAAATTATCATATACCTATAAGTTATAGGTATATGGAAATTATCGCTTTTTTTTAATAAAATCGTTATTTTTGCGAAGTTTTTTTTTTTTTTTTTTCTCAAAAATAACTTTAATTAATGTTACAATTATTCCTGCCAATTCCAGAGTGGGCCGATTTTTTTTTCTATTTTTTTCATTAAATTGAAAAAAAATTGTCCAATTTTCAAAAATGAAATTTTTGTTTTTTTCACAAACTTTATTTACCTATATAATAAAGTAAATGCAATTTTAAGGTATTACATTCTCAATTTATAGGCTTAAGCTAAGATTATACTGACTAGGATTAATGATTATTAAAAAAATGCATTTTTGAAAATTAGACAATTTTTCAATTAAATAAAAAAAATAGGAAAAAAAATTGGCCCACTTTGAGATTGTCGGGAATAATTTTAACATTAATAGAAGTTTTTTTTGCGAACTTCGCAAAAATAACGATTTTATTAAAAAAGCGATAATTTCATAGAGTTGATCATGTTCAATTTTTTTTGTCCATTTTTTCGAAAAAAAAAACAAAAATTTCAAAAAAAAAATACCAAAATGTCAATTTTTGAAAAAGTTGTGGCTTTTTGAAAAATTTAAAACTTTGTTGGGGTTGGATAAAAAAAATTTCAAAAATGTTTTTCACAGGGTAGAAAACTTTTGGCCAGATCGAAAGGGGTCAGGTTTAAAAGTGTACTAACAAATATGTACCTATGTAATAAGAAAAAAAAATCTAACGGATTTAGATTCAGAACAAAAAGCATTTTAAAAATCAAATCGCAACACTGTAATAAATTATAAAACGTTATTATGGGCCATCTTATGTTCCTAAAGGAATTAAAAATGTAGTTCTGGTCACAAAGTTAAATAGGACGTAAAAATTGTTCCTGGTAGACATAATTTATATTTAAAAATTACAAACTTACCGGAATTTTCTATAAAAATGCATTTTTAACAAAAAACAAACTATTAATTGAAAGGAAAAGTTTTTAAAACTAACTAAAATTGCTTCAGTATACATACTTATATCTTTACTTTACATTTTATTACATTGTAAATATTATAAACATATTTGGTTTTAATTAGTAAGTAATATTAAATTGCGAATAAACAATATTTTAATATGCATCTTAAAACTTTCCTTTTTTAATTTTATTCCATATTTAAAAAACACCCTGTACCTATTTGTATGTATTTATGCATTTAAACCTAAAATCATCGACTTAGGGAGCGATAATAGGCAACCCAGAATACATTAATACATAAATCTCATTTCTACAAAAACCTGTCATACAAGGGTGGATTTTGAGATTTACTTGAACGAAAAACATTCATTACATTTGTAATAACATCCAAGTCCTTTTCTAAATAGAAAGACGCAGGTAATTCTTGGGATTTACTGCAATTCCATTAAAAGGAAAGCAATATAAAGTTTGGAGAAGTATTTTTAGGTATTGCTTCTCTTACCTGATTGATATTGCTTTTAGGTAGTTTAAAAATGAAAGATTTTGTTTCTGTTTTATTTTAAAAAGTTTTATTGGTAATATACCTATTAATATATAAAGTGAATATAAGGAACATGTATAAAATACCAGTACTCTAAAAACATTTTGTAAGTAGTACTTAATTGTAAAATAATAACACAATGTAAAGCAACAGCATAGTTTATCACTTGCATATATTATGGGGTAGTTCATTTTTTTAAGACACATGTCTATAATTATCTATAAACAAAACATAAATGTTTATAAAAATGACTACCACATTTTTAAAATTGTACTGTTAAAATTCAAAACAACCCATATTGAAATCCTATTTATTTTCATCAATCCAGACTCTTCCAAATCTACTATTTATGTATGCATAGTATATTTTGTGATTTAAAAGAAAAACCAGGTTTAATATTGAAAGAAATTAAAAATGAACACAATAAAATGCAATTATTGATAAAAAGTAATAAATAAAATTATTAAAACACCATTTAATGTAAATGCAATAAAAAATTAAATGTAAAAGCCCCATCCTGGTTTGACTTAAAAAATATCGTTCTAATATCAAACTTAACATTATAAGTAGAAGTAACTATTTGAGCGCTTCCTTGACGCGGTCAAAAAAGCGCATTTCTTGTATTTGTATTTTTTTTTGTTATTTTTTTGTTTAACAGAAAATTATTATGCTCATACTCTCTCAGTGGTCCATGTCTAAATGGAAAATGTCGTTCTGCGAATTTCTTCTCGACTTATCACATTGTTCTTCCTCGGTATCAGTGCTCAATGAAGTCTTTGAATCTCCCTCCTGCTTCTCATCAACTTCGGAAAGCTCGCTTTCGCTGTGGCGCCTATCGTGCGCGCGTTTTTTGTTCCTAGCTTTGCGCTGGTTCTTCTTTTTTTGCCCCAAAATACTTGAGTTGGATCTAAAAGAAAACAGTTTTGCTATGCAGATAATTTCTTTGTATATATAGAAATTTTTAAAAAAATCCATTCTTAAGTATATCTTTGACATTTCTAGAGTTCTAGATTGTGTTTTGTAATTCTTAATTATGGTTTTAACATTTTAAAACGTGTTTTTGACATTTTGCAATAATACACTGCGCTTCAAAATTAACACATAATTAAAAAAATCTTACTCTAAAACGCTTACTTATTATGCGTTAATTTTGACGCATTTAGTAGCATATATTTAGGAAAAGATTGAGCAAGTCAAAATAAGACGAAAACCTAAATAAATATTTTTCCTTATTACTTATGTTTCCAAGATACATGGTGATAAAATGTTACATATCATATCAGTTTCTTTAATATTACTTCAATTATGGTAGACTTGGTAGGGTGATATTTTAAAAACATCCACTCACTACCAATACACATATTCACACATAATTACAATTGTTTGAGTGAACACAGTGTCTTAGAAACGGGGGTTGCTTTAAGCTTATTGTCCTATACAAACTTTGAGGTTAGGTTTTTATATCATGTGTATTGGTCACCCTGTAACTTGGAAACATAAGTGATCAGAAAAATATTTTTCTTACTACCTCGACTCAAAATACGTTGTTTCGTCCCCGATTCCACGGCAGAAAGTTTACGTTTTATGCATTGGTCAAGCTATACGCGCACACTCTAATAGCGGGAGTAAAAATTTTTTAGTCGTGTGCTTAACATTCAAATTTCGTACTGCCAACATAAGAAACACAAAAATATGACAGTTTTAAACCATAATTTTGCAATTATAACAACAAATAAACAATTTATGTTTTTTCTTTTTTACTTTTTATGTTGTTTTAAGTGTTTAATGGTACTTTTATTTGTTATAAAGTAGTAATGCAGTAGTGCAGGAATCTCACACTTTCTGCCCTTGTACTGTAATATACTATTATTTAGGTTTTCGTCTTATTTTGACTCGCTCAATCTTTTCCTAAATTTATGCCACCAAGTTTAGAGACACCTTGTATATTTATAAATTAGTTTTTAACATTCTTAATTTAGTTTTTGACGTTCTAAACTGTATTGTTTTATATTTTAATTTTTGATATTTTAAAATGTGTTTTTGAAGGTATAAAAGGTGTTTTAACCATTTACCTATAAGTTAGGCTATAACTATAGTTACCTATATGGTTTTAACATTTAAAATGAATGGGCAACATTTTCAAATTTGCTAATATTAGATTTTAGAGAAAGAATACAGCTTTTGTTTAAACATTAAAATCTTTTAACCTTATGGAGACGGTAAAGTTCAACTTTTCCATAGTGTAGGAAGAAAAATAAGTTTTTTGCATTTTAAAATAGGTTTTTGACATTTGCAGAATCATTTGTCTTTGAAGAGGTATAGAAAATTGTCGTTTTTAACAAGGCTTTTACAAATACAAGTTGTATGAAAATGTTTTATCGATAAAAAGGGTGTACACAGGATCAAAATTGATTTTTTACAGGGTTCGCAAATATCATGATTTATTGATATATATCCGATATATAGTTTAAATGAATTACATAAATTCTAACGTATCTTGTAAACTTACATTATAATAAGCCAAACGGCCAATAAATGGGCTTGATTAAAATGCAAGTAAAGGATTTTAATTCTTTATAAATAAGGTAAGTTTACAAACTAGCTAAAGCATTGGCTATTTTGTATACAAGAAATTTTTGTTTTTATATTAGTCAAACTGAATTGGATAGTATACAAACTATCCAGGTATTTTAGTTTTCCTAATAATTTCAAGTAAATAAGCCAAGATCCTTGGTTATTTTGTAATTTAGTTGAAAATACGTTTTATATAAAAATATATTAAAATAGCCGAAAGTTTGGCTAGTTTATAAATTATCCAGCTAGTTTATATACTAGCTAACTGTACACATTAGCCTTAACATTTATATCAAAATTTATTTTTTTTATTATTTATGAAAGAATCTTTTAAAAAGATACACAGACTATGCAGAAGCAAATATTTTTTTATTTTTACTTAATAATAAATGTATATTTACATAAAAATAAAAATTCGTAGGTACTTAATAATTCATGAAATAAAACAGCAAAAAATCAATGAATGTTAATTTAAATCGACAAATAAATATAGGGTATTTATGCGAAATATATCCAGTAATATATGTATATATATATATATGTATATAATATAATATATTTTATTAAATGTAAATTTTAAAAAAATTGCATCACCTATTTTAACTATTATTATTTTGCGTCTTATTTAAAAGTGAAAACGATAATAATTATGTAATAAAAATAAACGATAACAATAGCATTTATTTATATTCTTATCAGTATTTTCCTAGCCAAAAAAAATGCAACTGATAAGGAAATATAAAAATTATTTCAACTGTATTTGATCCCATTCTTTGTTATAAATAAGATTTTATATTTTATCTTAAAATAAAATTTCTATTTAATATATTTGCATAGGTACTTTAAATTATCTAGGCAATTGTTATTTATTGTTATGTTTCCTTGATTTATTTTTAAACGTACATAAAAATAACAGCAAAAATGTTGTTTATTCAAAAATAATATCATAATTTATCCACATGTGTATCTTTTAGATAAAAAATAACACATTTTAAACCTTCAAACAACATTTCATAAAACTTTACACAAATCAAATTAAAAATGTTTATTCTAAAGAAAATACAAATCAACCAAAATAAAAAATCAGCAAAACTACCTAAAAATTAACAAATTTTAGACAGTAATTTTGATACATACCTAAACAACTGCCTTTTGATGGTATCATTGAATCTGACAGTCTTCTTAAGGCTTGTGGAGACTTCCCCATCTTCTTCAGGTATTACAGAGTCAAATGAAGCACAATTCTCGAATGATGAAGGAACGAAATCGTCCAAACTGGATTCGGAAATGCTCCTCACAACTGCGGAACGCTTCGAGGACAGTCTCTTGAGAATCCCTTTGCTCAAAGAAGGACTGCAACTGTTGCAGGACAATTCGTCGCAGCTCGATTGGTCGTAGATTGAGGTTATGTCGATTGCTTTCGTTTTTTCGGGTTCACTTGTTTCTATTTCTGATGGTTTGATGTCTTCCAGATGTGTATTGATTATGGATGGTTCTTCAAGAGTTTTGGAGGTTAGATTTGAGGCGTTTAGGCCGTATAAGTAGGATTTTAATGTGGAGGAATCTCCATTGAATGGGATTTGTATTATTAGGTTGTTGTCCCAAGTTTCAATTGAAATTTTGTCGGGTAGAATTGTATGCTGTAATTTTACATAGAACGCGTAGTACGTGGGATAGTAACTACTACTAATACTAGTAAACTTAACGTGTAATGATGAACCTGCATCATCAAACATTTTTTCCACTGTATCTTCATCAACATTTTTAACATTTAAGGTATAAGCTAGGGTGTTATCAAATAGATGACAGGTAAATTCAGGTAAGTTATAAAATAAATTACTATCTAAAAATTCTGTCCTATAATCACTGTCACTACACGTAACGTCACTTTTATCACTCGTTTCTTCATCTGATTCAGTTGATGCATGGCTTTCCACGCCACTGTCTTCAATGCTATCAATTAGAAGCAACTTATTTGTACGTTTCACAGGTAGGGTGACGATTAATTTTTTCAAGTCTTTCTCGAATTTCGCGTTCCCAGTGGACTCGTTCACGCAGTAAGGGAGAGTAATGTTCAGTTTGTACTTTGCCGGTTTTTCACTTATAAGTTGTACTGTTTTTTCGGTGACATCCAGTTGGATATCGCTGGAGGATTTCAGCAGCGGTAAATTCACTTCTATGATTAACTCCTTCGGAGTTGCAGCGTTGATTTTCGTTTCTTTATGTTCCGTATAATCCTGCATTTCTATGTGGGAGCGATGTTTAATTACATACTGTGGGGTTGTGTATTGAGATTTGTCGCCTTCCGAGTGTTTTTTAGGCGCTTTTTTGGTCTTTTTAGGCGAGGTGCTGTAAGAATCTGCATTGGCGTAAATTTTATCGTAGAATTCTTTTTCTTCGGGGGTTCGTTGCACAATTTCGGCATTTTTAGACGGCGTGCGCCTTATGCAAGCTTTCGGTACACCTTTATACTGCAACTTGGGAAATTTTAAATTCTTTTTATCCAACTTAACATCAAAATTCCCCTCTACTGCCTCCAGCGCCGTACTATTAACCATACACTTGAACGCCTTATTTCTCTCCGCCAAATGCAACGTATCAGGGTGAAAAACTATGTCGTACACCTGACACCGAATTTTTTTGTTGTCCAAGTCGTCACGTGGCGGCGAAATCGAGTGCGGCAACGACCACTGCAACCCGCGCGACCCCTCTTTGACAGTGGCGAAAGAGGTCGGTTTCGCGATGAGTTCGTTAGCACAAACGTTGATAAAGCACTTTTGCACTCCATCCAGCGAGGTTTTAATAACGTAGCCCGGATTCGGGTGGATAAAAGTGACGTCGACACCGCGTTCTTTCTCCAATTGCGCTATCTCCTCTTCGTACTTTTTGCGGTTTTCTGGGTCTTGAATCTCCTCGACGTATTCCGTAAACAATTTCCTGAACTCCTGGTTTTTCAAAGCCTCGCCGATGCGATGCACTTCGTCGCGAGATAAATCCAAGTTTTGCAGCTTTTCGAACGAGTTCGCCATACTTTTCACTCACGAAACGGTGTTTGTGTTGTCGGCGCACAAACCAAAATAAATAGCGGCTCTCTGGAATGTTCCTCTTCCGTGTGTTCACGTGGACAAATCAGCCGGCTGCTTTCGGCGCGTGCGCGGCAAAACTTCGGGCGCGGGATTCGAATCGGCTGCGTAGTTGGGTCGCGGAATCGATTTTGCGGGTGTATTTGTGCGTTTGTCAGGCGTTTTGACGTTCGGATTTGTAACCTTGGGGATTTTTTGACCCGCTTTGTTTTATTTTCGGGACTTGGCAACCGGTCGCGGAAATTTCTGATGTAACAATTACCGACCGGCACAATTGTTTTTGCAGTATTACATTACATGTTTGTGTGTCTATTTTTAATTAAATTATTTTTTTCAAACGGAAATGTTAATTATCAATTATATTATATGCCTACATCTTTAAAAAATATAGAAACAGCTGTTTCTAGAAAAGATACTGTTAGCTTATAATATCTGTATCATTTTAAACTAAAGAAAATACTGTAAACTTAATGAAATTTTGAAAAAACTTATAAAGATAAAAATGTTAAACGAAAGATGGAAAAATTTAAATCAAGCAAAATCAAATGCCTAGAATCTATAGGATTAAATGTTTGATTTTGATTATAGGCAACCCAGGTTGCTGCAGGGTTACTACCCGTCTTTTTTAAGATGCGAAGATTAAATAATTTAAAATTATTATAAAATTATTAATTATTTGTCAAAATCCATCATAATAATAAAAATCGCATTAAAAAATTGTAAAACATTTGGTAAACCTTTAATTAAGTTAAAAACCCTATAAAAATATTTAATTCATTTAAAATCCTTAAAAATGGAAAAACAAATAAATTAATAGTACACATCCATAGTACATACATACCTAGGTATGTTTTAAATTATTTAGATTTATAAAAAAAAATAATGAAAAATTGTAAAAAATAATGTTTAAAAAAATTTATATCTAAAGCATTTACAATCTTAATTGAATTGACAATTTGTTTAAAATAAAGATTATGATTTTTTAATATTTTTTTTTATTTAAACGCGTTTTAATTAAGTCACTTTCTTGTTTGTCTGTTCGGTAAATTTAAAAAAACTGATAAAGATAAAAATGTTAAATTAGGGATCAAAAATTTAAATGAAACAAAATCAAATGCCCGGATTAAGATGTAGCGAAGAATTATATAATTATATATTATTATAATTAGTATATTACCCAAGCAACATTTTTGGTTCCAAAAACCATTGCCAAAGTGGTGATAACTTTAAATTAGTTAATTATACTAAACAGCTACTTTAATTTTTACTTAAAAGTAACTCTAACTTTTAAATAGCAATATTTTGTAACAGAAACTTAATTTTTCCTTAAATGGTTACTATAAAGTAATAAACATTTAAGTAAAACTTGGTTGCCCCCAAGAAGACTTTGCAACTTTAAAAAAGGTGTTATAAGTAAAAAAAACTTTATAGTAAATTTAATTTGTAGCAGTTACTTTCGGTTGCTACCTAAAGATTACATTATAATTATTTTTACTTTGTAGTCCCTTTGCAAGTTAAAATCTCGAAACTGGAACATGAGTTAAAAACTACAAAGTTAATAACTTAAAAGTTATTATTTTAGTATTTGGAACGTTTATGGTACTAACCAAACAACCGTAAAGTGGAAAAAACATTAAAGTAGCGAAAACTACTTCAAAGGAAAATGCTTCTTATCGGCCATTTTTTACTGTACAGTACCACGTGGTAATGTAAATAATAAATTATTTTAATTGTTTGTAAATGGTTGTTTACTTTTTAATAAATAGTAATTTTGTTGGTAATAGACGGTATTAATAATTAAATCAAAAAATTAATAATAAATATTAAGATTTTTTTATTTATAAACATTATTAAATAAATAATTTGTTTATACTTAAATATTGATGAAGCGCATTTATTTTACAAAAACTAAATTCATAAGTTCAATAGTAAAATTTAAAGGGTTTATAAATTTACCTGCCTTATTAAACATTATATTGTTATTCTGGAAGTTATAAACTACCAGTACATATTTAATAAACGACGACATTGAAAAGCCAAGTCCGTAGTGGTTCCATTTAAAAAAGGAGGGATAGTATAAGCTAATATAAGTTTGACAAAGACAGTTAATATAGAAGTAAAAACAAATAAATAAAAGTAATTATAACGCTTTAGCAACGATATTGGAACGTTCTAGTAACGTAGCAGCTACGTTCCAAATAGTAGCAGGGTTTATAGCTAGTGACCTATTTGCTACCTTTTTGGAACTCAATAATTGTTCCCCACTTTAGTCGTAACTTAGTAATGAAAGAGTAATATAAAGAGACCGGCGACTGTCGCAAAACACTTTAAAGTTTCTTCAATAGTCCCATATACGTAACAAATACTTAAATTGTTGCTTGGGTAATATACAGGGTGTCCGGGAAAAGGAGGTCAATCCGTTAACCATATATTCCTTGAGTTAAAACAATAAGACTTTCATAATACCATTTTTCAATTTAGAGCTTCATGTTCGATATACAGGGCGACAAAGTTTGAAATTTAAAACTGATTTTTTTTAATAATTCGAGTAATTTATAAGATATTAAGTTTAAATTCGGTACACTACTTCAATATAAATAGTTACATTTTTGGAGACCAACAAAACAAAAAACAATTGTCAAATAATCAAAATAGGGGGGTCCAGTACTCACTGACTCCCCCTATTTTTTAGTACGTGCGCCAATGACTTCTAAACGGTATTTTTTCAGGTAATCATTTATTGTTGAACATTTTTTGTCTCTTATAAAATTTTGATAAAATGATTTGTGTTAGAGATAATTTGTAAAGTATGGGTCAGTCCATATCAAATTTTCGAAATTTAAATTTTTTTTTGAAAAAGTTTAGGTCATGTGATATATCATAAAAAAGGTCTCTAATAGGCCTTTAAAATAAGCCACCACTGACCTTTCACTTTTAATAGTTTACGAGATATCGCTATTTTTGTAAGTACTTGCAAGACCCAAATTTATCGGAATGTTTTGATTTTCAAAAATCAATAAAACAAAAGCCACCTATCGAAAAATATTCATATATGGGATTTTTGAGTTTTTTAGTGAGGTAAACAAATTTACCAAAAATTATCAAAATCGGAGATGGTGGGGGAAGAACCTTTGGTAGATTTGATATGGACTGACCCATACTTTACAAATTATCTCTAAAACAAATCATTTTATCAAAATTTTATAAGAGACAAAATATTTTTAACAATAAATGGTTACCTGAAAAAATACCGTTTGGAAGTCATTGGCGCTCGTTCTAAAAAATAGGGGGAGTCAGTGAGTACTGGACCCCCCTATTTTGATTATTTGACAATTGTTTTTTGTTTTGTTGGTCTCCAAAAATGTAACTATTTATATTGAAGTAGTGTACCGAATTTAAACTTAATATCTTATAAATTACTCGAATTATTAAAAAAAATCAGTTTTAAATTTCAAACTTTGTCGCCCTGTATATCGAACATGAAGCTCTAAATTGAAAAATGGTATTATGAAAGTCTTATTGTTTTAACTCAAGGAATATATGGTTAACAGATTGACCTCCTTTTCCCGGACACGCTGTATAGGTATACATAGGTATATATACATACAGGGTGTCCGGGAAAAGGAGGTCAATCCGTTAACCATATATTCCTTGAGTTAAAACAATAAGACTTTCATAATACCATTTTTCAATTTAGAGCTTCATGTTCGATATACAGGGCGACAAAGTTTGAAATTTAAAACTGATTTTTTTTAATAATTCGAGTAATTGATAAGATATTAAGTTTAAATTCGGTACACTACTTCAACATAAATAGTTAAATTTTTTGGGACCAACAAAACAAAAAACAATTGTTAAATAATCAAAATAGGGGGTCCAGTACTCACTGACTCCCCCTATTTTTTAGTACGTGCGCCAATGACTTCCAAACGGTATTTTTTCAGGTAATCATTTATTGTTAAAAAAAATTTGTTTCTTATAAAATTTAGATAAAATGATTTGTTTTAGAGATAATTTGTAAAGTATGGGTCAGTCCATATCAAATCAACCAAAGGTTCTTCCCCCACCATCTCCGATTTTGATCATTTTTGGTAAATTTGTTTACCTCACTAAAAAACTCAAAAATCCCAAATATGAATTTTTTTTGATAGGTGGTTTTTGTTTTATTGATTTTTGAAAATCAAAACATTCCGATAAATTTGGGTCTTGCAAGTACTTACAAAAATAGCGATATCTCGTAAACTATTAAAAGTAGAAAGGTGAGTGATGGCTTATTTTAAAGGCCTATTAGAGAACTTTTTTATGATATACCACATGACCTACATTTTTTCAAAAAAAAAATAAATTCTGAAAATTTTATATGGACTGACCCATACTTTACAAATTATCTCTAAAACAAATCATTTTATCAAAATTTTATAAGAGACAAAACATTTTCAACAATAAATGATTACCTGAAAAAATTCTGTTTGGAAGTCATTGGCGCACGTACTAAAAAATAGGGGGAGTCAGTGAGTACTGGACCCCCCTATTTTGATTATTTGACAATTGTTTTTTGTTTTGTTGGTCTCAAAAAATGTAACTATTTATGTTGAAGTAGTGTACCGAATTTAAACTTAGTATCTTATCAATTACTCGAATTATTAAAAAAAATCAGTTTTTAATTTCAAACTTTGTCGCCCTGTATATCGAACATGAAGGCCTAAATTGAAAAATGGTATTATGAAAGTCTTATTGTTTTAACTCAAGGAATATATGGTTAACGGATTGACCTCCTTTTCCCGGACACCCTGTATAATAATTATTATACGAGATATATCTGCTTTATATTATGCAGACTATTCACAACGATGAATCATCCGAGTAAATAATCCGAGTAAATAATGCGCATTATTCCGTGTGTAATACTATGTTTTTTTCTCCAATTAAGTAATTTTCATTGATAACAAAATTTATAACCTTACTTTTTCCCGATTTTAAAGAGCATTATAGTCGCCC